TTTTTTAACTCATTTTCTGTGAATTGCACACGCTTTTATGCAATAGTACAGTTAGTTTTTCCTGTTGCGCCATTCGCAAACTCCCATGTTGACATATATAGAAAAATTTGTGTGGCCATTCGGACGTTGTGTATGAATGTGTTTACCTATAAGCTTGCCTCCCAGAGCAGAGGGGCTGACCCGCAGATATTTAGCCATTGCCTGGCACATATGCGCTAAATACACTTGTGTCTAATAAGTTTTAGCCAAATGCCCAGCGAGGCGAGTTTGGAAACGAGCAAAATGCACAAACACACATACGAACATACACACACACTCACACAAAATACATATGAATGACCGGTGGCTGGATAAACAAATGAAGGGCCGTCCACTGGAGGCCACAGCTGCGGATACGGCATATTTGTGGGTGCATAGCGTAAAATTGTCAAACTTACGATGGCATCCCGAAAGTCAGTTCGTATAGTTATATCGTCTGTCCGTTTTTTTTGCCTGCTGCCTCCGGTCGCCGGTCTCCGGTCCCTGTGGACGCTTGCCCCCCACTCGAATTTAAACTGACAAAATATTTGGCTGTTCGTTAAATTCAAAATCAAACTCACTTGTTTGGCCAGGAGGTAAAAGTACAAAAATATCATTTAATAACCGACAACCATTTTGCTTCGCCTATACCATGCATAGAGAGTTGAAAGGCCTGACGCATAGATATCCTAAATAACCAGTCAATGTACTTATATGGCTAGACTGTGTTACTATCACTATAAAAAGAACTTTTCAAATATTTTCAATGTTTATTTTTTTCTGCAATGAATGGCATGGGTGAACATAAATTCAGATTGTGTTTTATAACAGATAGAAAATATTTAAAGGCTCAACTTTTTCTAGAGCAGGCTTGTATTCAATATATACAAAAAGAATTTGTTGGATTTTAAGTTAAGTCAAAGCCATCAGAGTATTTGTCGCTGATTGCTCTGTGAACTCAGCAACAGATTATTATCATTTTACTAATTAAATAAATATATATTTACTTTATACGATATGATTGCCCAGGCCATCTTCTACCTAACCTATATAACGACAGCATTCATAAATATTTTTTTATTTTCTTTGCATTTAGGGTATATAAATATTCGCGACTGTTACATAAAACTAGATAGGGCTAACAAATCGTGAGGCAAGTTTGCTGTTACTATGGAAAATAAAGCCAGGTAATTGAGTCGAGGCAAAATAATTTGTAAGTAATTTTTAAAAGATTTAACATCCAAGTTGAGCTTACATTGAAGAGTTTGTCGTTGTCGAAAGGACTAAGAGGTTTATATTCTAAAACGAAGAGCACTTCAATCGATGTCTTTAATGAGCTGAAACGGATATACTATATTCACTCGTAATGTTCAATGCTTTCTCTTTCGACTTGAATGTGTAGCTTATCGAATTGCTTCCAGAAATCACTTGAAAATTGTCGCAAAGGGAACTCAGATTGCCGTTAACTAAGCCAGATAATTAATTGCCAATTCTACTGGCAATAGATGACCTGCATTTAATCGAACTATGCTCTGCAATTCGATCGAACAGGTTCATCACACCATTCCATGGTGTATGGAATAACTTTGCTGTCCTGTCCCAATTTTATGCAAATTATGAAATGGCAAAGCCTTCGCTTAGCAGATTTTAGACCGAGAACACAAAAGCCAATTATGTAAATTTAGTGAGCGGCAGTTTATTCAAAGTGACAATTATGAAACACTTTAAAATGATGTAATTTTTTTGCAAACGAGCGTTTTGCATCACACAGTGGAAATGTTGTATATGTATTTATTTTCATGAAAATATTTTTGCTCATCACAAATTTCGAACGGATAATTTTGGTACAGCTCAAGAGTTTCTATGTTGTCGGTCAGGCCATTGAATAGGTAAACTCGTTTTCTGCAATTTATTATACACCGAATGACTTGGTGTGTTTGGGCATATTGCGTTTAAGTAGGCTCCAGTTGATGCTGGTGGGCGCCGTGGTGCTGCGCTGCTTCTTCGTTTTGGCCGTCTTGGTGGGCACCTTGGAGCGCATGACGCGCAGGTTTTGGTACTGGCTGGCGCTGCGTACCACCTTGTTGAGCTGCTTGCTCAGCTTCGGTGATTTGGCCGGTTTCGACTTGAATTTACTCTTGAGAACCATCTTGCCGTGGCTCGTGTGACTCTTTGCGCCCGCGGAAGTCTTGGTCTTTGACTTTGGCAGGGCCTTGCCCGACTTCGATGATTTGATCGATTTCTTGGACTTTTGCGATTTGATTGGCTTCAGAGATTTTGTAGACTTCTGTGCACTGAGATGGGCGCCGCCCTCAGACCGACCACCGGACTTCTCTTCCTTGGGCGGGGGCTTCCTGACCGAGTATTTTGGCGACGGTGGCACCTGGGTGGAAAATACGCGTGCAGCCTGCACAATCGAGTCAAAGTTTCCGAACACTTGCATTATGTTTCGATTCACATACTGTAGATACTTGAGGGACGATTGGCACAAGCTGCACTTCGGATTCTTGTCGCAATTGTTGCGTATAAGGCTTTCCAGGTACAAAAAGTTCTTGGCCATATTTTCACAATGTGGACACTTATTCATGACGGTGCGATCGTAATTATTCTCCTTGAGATTCGCGATGTGTTCCTTAAAAGCAGGCCTATTATCTAAATTGATTTTTGAGTTCTGAGGCACTATGTACGAATTTTCGGGTTTTTTTTTACCCAAGCCGAACATTTTTCTTAGAACAGAAATTTGGTTACCCTTTATCGGTATAAAATAAAAATGGACTTGTTAGCATATATTTTAAAACTAAATTTACTTCATAGCCTACCTGAGCCATTTTGATCCAACTCCTTCAATGTCAGCTGTCTAAGTGTCTGAATTTATATTCATTTTGTGTACAAATTACATCAAACGCTGACTTGAATCGCAGCGGTTGCTGTAGGGCTGTTCAATTCCATTGGATTTCTGGTACGAGTATTGTTGGCAATATGAAATGACTTGAGCTGGAGTTGGATCAGTGAAGCAATTGGACAGTTAGAAATATATAATTATTCTAATGTATCCTATATAGCTCAACTATTCAACTAAAACTAAACTATCGCATAAACATCGCTAGTAAATTGTTAGCATTGCTAGAACTTTTTATTAATTTCGAATACCGGACAGGGAAATAAAATTATATTTTATATTCACTTAAATTAAATATAATTTATGTCATATCGGTGTAAAATTATTTTGTTTTAGTTACTATTACTTGATTGAGAGAAGCAAAAAACTCGTATTAGCCCTGTGAGCTAGCATTTTAGCGACAAAGAATGTAAGATAGAAAGAGAGACAGAGAAAGAGACCGAGAGAGAGACAGAGAGTGAGAGAGGGAGAGAGAGAGACAAAGAGAGACAGAGAGAGAGAGAGAGACAGAGAGAGAGACAGAGAGAGAGAGACAGAGAGAGAGAGATAGAGAGAGAGAGACAGGGAGAGAGAGACAGAGAGAGAGAGACAGAGAGAGAGACAGAGAGAGAGAGAGAGAGAGGGAGAGAGAGAGAAAGACAGAGAGAGAGAGAGAGACACAGAGAGAGGGAGAGAGAGAGAGAGAGAGAGAGGGAGAGAGAGAGAGAGAGATAGACAATTATAGCTGTAACTGAACGTAGTCCCGAATGTTCTCGTTTGCGAGTAGGAGGCGTGAATAATATTAACGTTACGTCATTTACATATGTATATAATTTGCATGTCATGTGCAAATGTATGTATGTAGAGCATGTATTTTGACCTATGCACTATGTTTTCTCTGCTCTGCCTAGCCCCCTCCTCTCTCCCGTAGTGCTCACATCTAAATCCAGCATAATTTTCAGTGCATTAATGTATTATGCATATTTAATTCGATCACTTTTTGCATTATGTAATTAACTATAAAAACAAAATAATAAAGTAATACAAATATTACAAACTTTTTTCAGTTATTCATGTCCTACTTTGATTTTGTATAATAAACAAGGTACACGTCGGCTTATTATTAATAATATTTCAAACAAAGTGATGAATGGCCAACAAATGTCCAATTACATGCAAAAATATGTTTTCTTTGCAGTCGAGCTGGCTTTTTTTTTATATTTAATTTGTCAACAAGTTTCTTTGATGCAAATGAGTCTTAGTAGAGTCAGAAGAAAGAATTGTCCTCATTTAATTTCAAAGGCACAACTGTAAAAATATATGTATATGTATATAAATAAATTTGCTGGCCTCAGTTTAGGTCGCCCGGATTTTGCTCTGGGTCTGGCTTGTTTAATTTCAATTTCCCTGGGCACAATTAGCGGTAATCAGTTTGCAGTTTCGGGCACTGCGTTTGATGTTGTCCACGCTTTCATTCCGATTTTTGTACACCCAACCATTCTATATGTAGCTGTGTAGGTGTGTATGTATATAGGGGAGAAGGTATACAAATATACATTAAATTTGGGTCAGTTGGCTGCGATGCGTGCGGTAATTTATTTAATTTAAAGATAACATCAGGCAGTTTTAGGTAGTTGGGTAGTTAGTTCAGTTTCTTTGGGCAAAACCGACAAACGCCGCCCTTGAGATGGCCAAAATGTTGACCTTGGGCAATGATTGCCAAAATTATGTTAATGGCTGTCGCAAATCGGCAATTAAAAGGCTTTCATTGAAATAGCTTTATTAAATAGCCATCAACTGCGCGATTTCTGCCTTCGGCTGAATGAGGCAACGAGTCGTTAATATCTATAAAATGCATTATATTTTTATTGAATGGGTT